CAGGCACCAAGCCTCTCCCCTGGGTGACCTAGCGCTGCTCTGAGCCAAGGGGGTGGCCGCTCAGGGCTGGCCACTGTGGGGAGGGGGCTCACGGCCGCTGCCCGTCGGGGCGCACCCTCTCCAGCGTGGACAGAAGTCCCGAACCCGGTCTGGCCCCTCATTAAGTGAGCAGGCAGCGGAGCCACGCCGGCCGGGACTGCTCCTCGAAGCTCACCTCCCAGGGCCTCCGTGCTGAGAGGCACAGGGGTTCTGCGTCCTGGGCTGCGGCCGGGATCCCCAACTTCCAGCGTTTACAGAGCCGCTGCCAAGTGCTGGCCCTGTGGGGCATGTGGCCCAGGAGCCCCCACTAGACACCGCCCGGTGACCCTGCCCCCTCCTGAGACTCTGTCCCCTCCTGGACCTCACCTACTCCCGGACTCCATGCCCCCAGGACCCCCTCCCCGGGAACCCCCAGCCCTACCCCCAGCAGTCGGGTTTGGGGAGGCGCGGCATTAGGACCGCGCGTCCACTTGGCTGCGCCACGGCTGTGGAGAGCCCGGCACCCGCACCCTCCAGGGCAGCCGGCGGGGTGGCGGGCATGGCCTGCTCCCCAGGGACCCAGGCGCCGGGCACAGGGCCGGAGCAGCAGGTGTCCTGTGGCCTGTGTGCTGCCAGCCACACCTGGGGGCTGGCGGGAAGCCTGGTGTTGGGGTGCAGGCTGTCCCCATGAAACGCGACCCGGTCCTCTGGCACTCACAGGCCCCCAGACTCCAGGCGGTGGCCGCCCCAATCCCCACATGCCTTTAGCCCGGCTTCGTGGAAGTGCCACGTGCAGGTCTTCTTGTATCTTCGTTTTTTTAAGATCTTATTCGGGGCCTCCCTGGGGGCGCAAGGGGTTCAGCACAGGCTAGACGCGGTCGCGGCCCCTGGGCACGAGCCGGGGCCCCGGGCAGGGAGCCGCCCGCGGCCAGCAGACCCTCCTGCCTCCCGCGGCCCCTCGGGTGTCCCGGTCCCGGGGGTGTCCTCTCGCGCCGGCCGGCCGCGCCCCGGGCTGAGGGGACCCACAGACCGGCGGGGCGGGACGGGCGCCGGGGGGGCTGCGCGCCGTGGGCATCTCCGCGGCCGGCTCGGGCCGCCCTTGGGCAGGGCCGGCGGGTGCCCAGCGGGCAGCGCGGCCTGGACACGGCGGACACGCGGCCGCACCCCGGGGCCCTCCCGGCCGCGCCCCGCGCCTGCGCCTCGCCCGGGAGCCCCCGGCGGCGGGGTCCGCGCGAGCCGGGCCCGTAACTCGGGCGACCTGGCCGCGGGGCGCGGGGGGCGCGGGGGGCGCGGGGCGCGGGGGGCGCGGGGGGCGGCGAGCCCCGGCCCTGACCACCGGCGGCCCCGCGTCCGCGAGCGGCCCCGCCCCCAGCCCCGCCTCCCCGGGAGATCCCGGCGTCTCACCCCAAGTTCCGTCGGGTCAGCCCCGCCCCCCCCGCCGCCGCCCAGGAGGCCCCGCCCCCCGCGGCCCCGCCCCGCCCAGGAGGCCCCGCCCCCCGCGGCCCCGCCCCGCCCCCGCGGCCCCGCGCACGCGCCGTCCGGAGGAGGCGGAGGCGGCGCGGCCATGGCGGCCCGGGGGGGCCCGGCGCGGCCCGCGCGCTCGTGGTAGGTGCCGCCCGCGCCCCCGCCCCGCGCCCCCCCCGCCCCCCGCCCGCCCCCCCGGCGCCCCGGCCCGGCCCGGCCCCCCCCGGCGCCCCCCGGCTGGCCTGGGCGCCCGTCCCGCTCGCGGCTCCGCGCCTCCTGCCGCGCGGCTGCGGCTCCCCCGGCCCGGGCGCTCTCGGGGCGCAGAGCCGGCGGCGCGGGGCGACCCGGGGCCCCCAGTTCCCCGCCTGCCGGCGGCCGGGGACCGTTGGAGGCGTCTGGGCGGGGCGCGGGGCGGGAGCAGCGGGCGCCCTTGGGCGGCTGGGTGCGGGCGCGGCGCCAGCGGGCGCGCGAGGGGCGCGCGAGGGGTGCCCGCGCCCGCGCCCGCCAACCCCGCCCGCCCTCCAGTCGGTCATCCTGCCGGTGCGCAACGCGGCGCGCTGGCTGGACGCCTGCCTGCGGTCCGTGCTGCGCCAGGACTTCCGGGGCCCCTTGGAGCTCTCGGCCTTCGACGACGCCAGCACGGTACGGCCTGCCTCGTGCTCAGCGGGGCGTGGGGGTCGGGCGCCCCGCAGCCGCCTGCGCTGAGCCGGAGCTGTCTGGCCTTGATGGGCAAACTGCTGGGGGGCAGCGGGCCAGCCGCCCGCAGGGCTCGGCGGTCAGCACAGCCCGGCGCCTGCCCTGGGACCCTGCGCTGGGAGAGTCTCGGGTGACGCCCCGCACCCGGCTGCGCCCCAGCCCTTGTCTGCAGACACCGGGGTCTCTCCGGCCCCCCACAGTACCCCTTGCCAAGCTCGACCCCTTGCCCGCGCCAGCGCCTCCTGGCCCTGGGGTGCCTGGCCCCGCGAGGCGGCCCGGAGAGGCCGTCCTCCAGTCTCTGCGTACACAACTGCTGGGGTGTCTTGGGCTGTTCACCCCGGTCTCTGTATAGTGACGCCCCCCTGGGGGCCACCCTACCACATTCCACCCGCCCGCTGCCCAGTCTCCCCCGCACCCCACCCCGCGCCCTCGCTGTACACCCTGGGTGGACGGTCGATCACCCACGAGCTCTGCCCTTTCCTGGGCGAGGACCTGCGCCCCTGACCACAGCAGCCCGGGCTGCCCGACCCCAGGGGCACTGCAGGCAGGTGGCCGGGGCAGCTCGGGAGCCTCCCAGGGGCAGGCAGGTGGCCGGTTCTCCAGCTGCCATGATGTTGCACCTCCTGTGGCGCAGGAGACTGTCCTCGTCGCTCCAGGCCAGTGTGGCCTCCCGGTTCCAGGCCCCCTCGTTCCCACTGAATGTCCCGCCCGTCCCGATGCCCATCACGTGCTGCTGCTGCTGAGCGAGCACTGTAATTCTGGGCTTGGGAACCCAACTCCCCACAACTGTTGGGGGGGAGGTTCCCCGTGGCGACAGACGCCAGCTGGTGGTCGAGCTACCACCTCTCGCCTCCTTTCGCGGTTTCCAGCTGGAAGGACGGGCTGCTGAGAGCCGGCCAGAGGCCCTGACTGCCGTGTCCCTGTGCTTTCAGGACAGGTCTCTGGCTATCCTCGAGGACTGGAGAGTGAAGCTGGAAGATGCCGGGATCCTCGTGGTGGTTGGAGGCCACAATGCTCCGTCTCCCCGGGGAGGTCGGTTCTGGGGGTCCTTGTCCTGCCTGGGGTGGGTGCTGCTTCCTGCAAGGTCCGCTGAAAGCCACCTTGGGGGTGCTCGGGCTGCTGCTGGCCCAGAGGCCACCAGGCCTGGACTTCTTGTTGTTTGGTGAGGACTCAGGCCGGGGCATTGCGCAGCCGTTGCTTCCCTTGTTTGATGAAGACTGGTGGGTGTTTTTACTTCCGGTGTGATTATCATTGTTGGTCACCTCCACTTCTCTTTTTTTTTAAGATTTATTTTTATTTATTTATTTATACAAGCACTGGGTACAGTCAGAAGCGCAGGAGGGTGAGAGGATTCACCAGAGCCAGAGCGGGGGGAATAACAGGCAGACTGACGAAGTACACTGCTGAGGGGAGCAGCGGGCGGCAGGAGAGGTCTGCGCGCCCTGTGGGACCCTCGCCGGTGGCCGGGGATCGAACCAGCGCTGCAGAGGCTGCGGGCAGCTTCGCAACCCAGCGCTCAACCGCTGCGCCACCAGGGGAGGCCCTTGCTTCTGACTTTTTTAACATGGGGCGACCCCTGGGTGTGGCTGGGGCCTCACTGCAGCTCATGTCTGCATTTCCTGGACAGCCACGCTGACCATGGGCGTGGCCCTGGGACAACTGCCTGCTCAGTGCCTCAGCCATTTTGGGGGGGTGTTTGCTGTGTCTTGTTGAGGTGAGTGGCTGTTAGCCCACCCTGGTGATCAGTCCCCAAAAGGGTGTGCCCGGCGCCGACATCCCACCCAGAGCCACCCGGCCTTGGGCGCCGTCTTGCCTTGGTCACCGTCCCAGCGGCGGCCCTCCCGCGAGGACGCGTCCTCAGGGTGCTGCTGGGCGTGGGCCACAGGGTCTGGCCAAGGCTTCTCCATGTCCGCCTGGGTTCCTGCTCTTGCATCCAAGCCTTTTGTCCGTTCCAAGTTGATCCTCACACGTGCTCAGCTCGTGGCTGCTCTGTCCTGGGCGTGGGGAGGCCCCGCTTCCAGCCCCATGCATGCAGCGGGGTCCCTGCTCCGCGCAGGTGCTGGCGGGTGGCCCTGGCCCGGCCGGCATGGCCCTTGCCTCCCACTGCCGCCTGCTGGGCCAGCAGGGCACCCAGGCCGGGTGCTGGGTGCCACGGAGGAGACTGTTCTGGGCATGCTGGTCGGCGCCCCTTTATGCCTCCTGACCCGTAGTGGCTGTGGTGTCCCCCTCGTCCCCACCAGCCCTTCAGGGCACCCCAGTGGGAGCTGCCTCATCCCCTGCCCCAAGAGGTGCTGCAGGGCAGGCTGGGCAGCCCTGGGTGGGCACCTCCCGGGCCCACGTTCTCCTCAGACCCTCCTCTGGACTGCAGCTGTCTGGCCACTCGGCCCGGCCGGCCAGCCTCTGCTCCAGGGAGGCGGGTGCCCGCCTGGCCCCTCTGGCTCTCACTGCCCCTCACTACCTACCAGAGGCTCCCGCTGGGCTCGTGTTCCTTGAGGCCACTGCTCAGAAACCTCCCCGCCTGCCTCCCAGGCTGAAAGCAGTTCCCACAGGCTGCGCTGAGCTCACCTGCCCTCTCACCTGCTCCCTTACCACACCTGCCCCTGTGGCCCACTCTCCGGGCTCCAGCAGCCTGTGGGCCTTGCTGCCATAGACTCTCTCAGTACCACTGCCACTGGGGCCCCCAGCGTGGCCTCCAGCAGCCCGGCCTCCCTCCTGCCCTAGTGGGCGGCGTCAGGGAAAGAACCACGGGGGTCTGAGTCATAAGAGAACATTTCTTTTTCTTTCTTGAACAGTCGGATACTCCAGAAACCAAGCGATAGCACAGAGCTCGGGGGCCTTCCTTTGCTTTTTGGACTCGGTGAGTGACTCTGCCTTGTTTAGAATGCACGGTGTGCGTGTGGGGTGAATGACCGAGCTGAGATCCGAGCGTGGCCACCCACATGCTATGGTCAGGAGCAACAGTCGGGCTGCAGTGGCAGCTGCGGTCCAGTCGCCGTGGCATTCCGTGGCTTTGGACAAATAAGATGACGTGGCATGAAGCACCACAACCGGAGGGGCTGGGGGCCTCGTGTCCAGCGGGGAGACGGCCTGCCTGCCTGTCTGCAAGTGCCGATGGACTCAACCTCAAGCCTTCCCTGTCTGTGTCGGCCTGGCCTGCCCCTCATCGCAGGGCCCGACGGGGGCGGCCGGTGCGGCGGCCTCCGGCACTTCCTGTCTTCAGGGTCTTCGTCTCTGTGGGGATGGGGGGATGGGCCTCTGGCCCCTTGTGCTGTGGGAGCCTCAGCTCACAACCACATGCTGAAGGAAATGGGGTGCTTGCAGGTGCAAGGGGCTTAATGAGCTCCCCTGGGGCCGAGGGCATTTTGTCGGCCACCAGGGATACTGCCTGGTGGCCATTAGCACCCACCCAACCTGTGGACCGGGCCTCCTTCCTTGGCGTCAGTGCCACCCGCTGCCAGGTATAGAGACGGGATGGGACGAAGCACAGACAGGAGGCCGGGGCCTCCCTTCTTGTCCACCAGTTGGCCATGCCACCCAGCACCAGCGCCTGCCCCAGGCCACCTGGCTGTCCCTGCTCGGTCAGGCCGCCCCTCCAGGGGGCTCTGGGCCTGCTTCCTGGCGCCAGCTGGAACTTGGCACGTCCCAGTGGCAGCTGCTCTGTGGCCTCCTTCTACGGAAGGAGGCTCTCGCTTCTCCCCCAACCTCTGGCTACCCTGCCCATAACGCAGACCCCCAACACCCTTCAGTCCCCAAAACCCACACACTTGCCTTCGGTGGTTGGGGTGGGCTGACACTGCCTGTCGCTCCCCATCGCCAGCTTCAAAGTTTGCCCTCCTTAGTCTCTGGCCCCAGCTGTGTCCGCTTGTTTAGTCCACGCTTGTGAGGTGACACCTTGTCGCCACACTCTGCCAGGGGGCCGGTGCCACTGTGGTGGTTTCCAGGTGGTTCAGCCTTGCAGTTAACAAGCCATCCACACACTGTAATACGGTGCCCTGCTTTAACTGAGCCTTCCTGAGAGCCCTGGCTAGTATCTCCCCAAAACAATTGGGGCGTTCTCAGACCCCTGTTGAGGACAGCCCAGCAGTACTGGAGTGTGCTCCTGGACTCAGGGTCTTGCCATTGAGAGGCAAAAAGGGCCAGCTGCGCGACCCGGGGCAGGCGCTGGTGATGGGCTGCCCGGGCAGCTGGCAGAAAAGGGAGGCTCCGGCCTCCTGTCTGGGCTGAGGCCCGTCCTGTCTCCATACCCGGTGCCGTGTGTGGGTACCTGCTGCCTGCCTTCCTCCTGGGCCCGGCCCGCCTGGCTCTTGTTTGTGGAGCTGCCTCAGGTGCGTGGGACGGCGTTCTCTTGCAGGACGACGTGATGATGCCTCAGAGGGTGCGGCTGCAGCTGGAAGTCGCCATGCAGCACCCGACCAGTGTGAGTAGGCGTCCTGCTGCCGGCCCCTGCTGCCCCCCCAGGTGCCCAGCGGGTGCAGCCAGGCCAGCGCCGTGTCTGACTTGGGCTGTAACACAAGGGCGTCCACCCTTAAGGACACATGCTTCTGTCTGAGTGGCGCTCGCCCCTCGGGTGGGGATGCGGGGTTTGTTTTGCTCCTGATGGGGCCACACGTCCGTCGTGAGTTTGAGCACCGCTCACAGCAACGTGTCCTTACTGTGCACTCGGCAAAGGCCAAAAGTGGCCCATCAGTGACCTCCGTGAGAAGAAGGGGTCTTTGTTGTGGCATCAGCCCATTGCTTGGCTGCATCTATCAGCGGCTGCAGTGGGCCTTGGTGCTCCTCCTGGCCAGGTGCTCCCTCCTGGGTAGGTGCTCCCGGGCCAGAGCCACGAGGCAGCCTGCTCTGGCTCGCCGCCCTCTTGAGAGGACCTTCGGGCTCCTGGGGCCCACGGCCGGAGCGGGGCTTGGGAGTCCACGCTCGGGGGGACGCGGCCTCAGCCTTTGAGCACCGGAAGCGCATCTGTGGGCCCAGCCAGGGCCGGCCGGGCCTCCACATGCTTGGGAACACAGGATTCTGCCTCACGGGTTTGGCCCACTTCCCCCGTCCCCGATATGCTATCACAGCGGGTGCAGGCCGGGCAGCTGTGCTGCGTGTTCCCGCAGGTGGTGGGCTGCCGGGTGAGCAGGGACCCGCCCGACTCCACTGAGCGGTACACGCGGTGGATCAACCAGCTCTCACCTGATCAGCTGCTCACCCAGGTACTTGCCGGCCCTGGGAGGGCTCCCGTGCAGCAGGGCCTGTCCTGCTGCACCTGCCGCCGTGGTTGAGTGGCTCTGTGTCTGGCTGAGCCCGCCCCATGCCGAGGTCTGAGTCCGTCCAGACCGCCTGGGGCAGCAGGCCCGGCATGGCCTTCTCCAGCTGCCCTGGCAGGGCTTGGGGCGCGGGCAGAGGCCCACGCGCCTCCCTCCCCGTCTCCCCAGGTCTTCACCTCCCACGGCCCGACCGTGGTCATGCCCACCTGGTTCTGTTCCCGTGCCTGGTTCTCCCACGTGGGCCCGTTCGACGAGGGCGGGCAGGTAAGTGTGGGTGCCTGTGGGTGTCAGGTGAGGGCGCCGGCCTCCAGGCAATCTCCCCAAAATCCTGCTGCCTAAGGCAGGGTTTCTGCAGGAAGGCCAGGGCGCCTGGCCCGGCCCCCTCCCCTCCCCTGGGCTGTCTGGGGACATGGGGTGCGGGCAGGTCAGGCCCTGTCCTGTGGAAGCACCGGGACTTCGTGTCCAAACTATTGCTCTGTTCTGGGCCACGTGGGTGCTTGGCCTCACTGGCTCTGGCCTCCCCAGCTCTGGCCTTCTCGGGTGGGGCCTGTGTCAGCACCCCAGGTCTCATCCCTTCTGCCTGGAGAGGACCCCGTGCCTGGGGCTCTGTAACCCGGCGGCAGGGGGAAGCCAGGGCCCAGACCAGGCCGTGGGTCTGGCCGCAGCCCTGACAAGTCTCGCCACCCGCAGGGTGTACCCGAGGACCTGCTCTTCTTCTACGACCACCTGCGGAAGGGCGGCGGGGCGGTGCGCGTGGACCAGAGCCTCCTCCTCTACCGCTACCACCCACATGCAGCCACACGCTCCGTCCTCGAGTGCGTAGACCCAGAGGGCGGGCAGGGGCCCTGGACTCCCGGTCCACAGCGGCCTGCTGGGCCTGCGGCTGCTGCAGTGCATGTCTCATGGGGCCGGGGAGGGAGGCCCCTCTGTGCCCAAAGGCTGTGCCGCCCACATGGCGGTGACCAAACCCCAGTTCCACGTGGGGTGACAGCCCTGGGCTCCTGGGGGGCCGAGCCCCCGCGCCCTGCTGGATCTTGGCCATGTCCGTGTCCACATGTCCACGTGTCCAGGAGAGACTTCATGACGGCGCAGGGGAGAGGCCCAGCCCCAGGGGCAGCTGCTGCCTCGAGCCTCCCATCTGATGACCACTGCCCTCGCCCACCGCCTGCTGCTTCCCAGAGTCTGCAGTGTCCCCGGGATGGGGCTGCACACCCTGCCTGCTGCCCAGCGGGGTCTGGCTCAGGCCTTGTGCAGGGCCAGGTCAGGCCTCCAGGCACAGCCTGGCTGGGCAGCTCTAGATCTGTGGCTGCCCTGTCTCTTTCAGTGGAGGACCCACCCCGGGACCCCCGTGGGTGTCCATGCCCATCCCCTTCACCTGGTGTCTGCCCTGGTTGGCTCTGGGGGGCGGTCAGCCCCAGCGGTTCCCTTAGTGGCCTGGGCTTGGGGACACCGGGCCTGGCCTTCCAGCCCTCGCGCACAAGTGTCTGCATGTCAGACCCCGGCCACCCGGCCTGCAGGTCGCCCACGGCCCACCATCCACACCAGGCGGCAGCCGCACGTGACCCCTGCTGGCCCAGCTACAGACCCCCAGAAGAGGGCCTGGGTCCTGCCTGGGGGCAGCCAGCGGTCAGGACAGTATCTGTGGGTGGGGAGCAGCACCCTGTGTACCTCCCCAGCACCTCACCCTGGCTCACGCGCCCCTGAGCTGGCGGGTCCTGGCGGGGGAGGGGCAGCTGAGGCCCTGCCCCGTCCCCTCCGACCCCTGCAGGGCCACCATCTGGAGCCACCGCGTGCGCTTCCTGGAGGAGCGGGCCCTGCCCCACTGGGCGGCCTTCACCATCTGGAACGCGGGCAAGCAGGGCCGGCGGCTGTACCGAAGCCTCACAGCAGGGGCACGGAGCAAGGTGGGCCCCCGTCCCCTGCTGCCCCGAAACCCCCACCCCTCCGAGACCGCCCTGTGTCCCGAGACCACCCCGTCACCCAAGACCCTCAGCTCCCATCCCCCCAAGACCGCCCCCTGTCCCCCGACATCCTAAGACCGTGCCCCACACCTCGCCCTCCACAGGTGGCTGCCTTCTGTGACGTGGATGAGAACAAGATCAGGAAGGGCTTCTACAGCTACGAGGACTCCCAGGTGGGCACCCGGGGCCCTGGTCTGCAGGGTCCCCCATCGACTGGGGCACCATCCTACCGCTGAGTGGACACTGCCCGGGAACCTCCTCCCTGGGCCAGGCCCCCTGAGCAGTGGGTGTGGGTCTGGTTCCCTTGCCCGTGGGGTCCCTTCTGAGGTTGGGGGACCTGCACGCTGTCAGCACTAGGACCATGTGGGGTGTACCCCAAGCGGAGCGGGCACCCCAGCTGGACCCCCAGGGCCATGCTGCCAGGCACACACCCCAAGGCAGGAGCAGGCCCGACCCCAGCGGTCTCTCAGGACAGGCCTAAGCCCCGGATCCCCATCCTGCACTTTCGAGCTGCCCGGCCACCCTTCGTCATCTGCGTGAAGCTGGTGAGTGTCGGGCGGGCCCCAGGCGCCTGACGGGGGGGCTCGGGCCCATGACTGAACCCCCGCCCCCACCGTGGCTAGCTCGGAGCCACCTCCCACCAGACCAGAGGCCAGCAGAGCCCCAGGCCCCAGTGTCCTCATCCAGCGGGCACGAAGCAGGGCCATGTCTTGCAGGCCGGGCGCCCTGTCACGTGACCCTGGCAGTGCGGCCATGGCCCCTTCAATCAGCCACACACTGCGTCTGCTGCCTCCACCCTCTACTGGTCTGTCTGGCCTTTCCACTCTTGACCGGGCAGCGTCAGCCTATATAGGGTCCCAGGGCCCGTCCAGCCCGACTGCTCCCCTTCCTGGCGGGGGCCAGGCCCCACCAGCCCACGGCGACACTTTGAGAGCGTGGGGGGGCAGGCAGGGCCACACTGGCATGGCCAAGGACACACGGGGCCTGCCTGGGAGTTGCAGGCTGAGCCCTGAGCCTCCCACCTGCCTTGGGGGACCACATCCTCTGCAGGGCTGGGGGTGATCCCCTCCCAAGGGCATCTCGAGGCTCCAGGCTAAGCTGGGGGAAGGCATCCGGGCCAGGCTGCCCGGAGTGGGTGCTTCCAGTAGAAGGCCAAGAGCACCACGTGATGGGGGGCGCCGGGAGCCTGACCAAGTGGACCTGCCCCCAGGACCTCACCGGGGGAGCGTTTGAGGACAACTTGCAGTCGCTGCAGCTGCAGGAGGGCCGGGACTTCATCCACTTCAGCTGATCAGGTAGCAGCGGGGCTCAGGAGAAGGAGCTGCAGGCCCTCGTGGGTGCTACACAGGTGGCTGGCCACCTCCCAGGGGCAGCGGTTCTCCTGGAGACCCACGTCTGGCAGCTGTAGGCCGGTCTGGGCCACGGGGTAGGGCTGATTCTGCAGACCAGTGGCTGCCTCATCTCGAGCCCCTGGACCAGCATGAACCCTTCGCCTGCGTCGTTGGCACTGCTGGACACTGCACCCAGGCGGAGCCAGGGGCACCTGCAGGGCTCGCAGCGCCCTCCTGAGGCCCAAGAGGGGTCCTGGACTCCACCCCCCTAAAAAAAAAACACCCAGGCCCGGAACCCTTGCCTGCTGCCCCCTGCTGGCTCCAGGGCTGGGCCGGTGCCTCTGCCCTCTGACTGGACAGTCCTCCTGAGCCCAGTGTGCTCCAGCTGCACCTAGCCGTTGGCCCCCACTGCCACCCCAGGCCCCCACCCCTGCACTCCTCACTGCACTCCCTCTCCACGTGTGACCCAGTCAGGGGCCAGCGGATGGGAGAGCCCCAGGCCGAAGCGGGCTGCTCGTGTGCGCTCAGCCTTTCGGATGGGTGGGCTGGCCCAGAGGACAGCGGCCCTGGCCTGGCGTCCTGGAGGAACAGCAGGGAGCAGAGCCGGCTCTCTGGAAGTGCCCACACCCCAGTGGCCACAGGCATGCGCGGTCTCTGCTGTGTCCAGCCCCTGGCCGGCACTCAGCCTGTCTAGCCCACTCTCCGCCCAGGCGGCCCCGCTCACACCACTGCAGGCGGACGGCTGCTCGTCTAACTTTATGAGATGTGGGTCAAGGCTACTACAAAAGCACTACCACCCCAGCCAGCGCAGGCCACAGCCACTGCCCAGCCCCGCCCTCAGCACCGCCATCCTCCAACGGTGAGACGTGGGTCCAGGTCTCCGTGCTGGACGGGTGCAACAGCTCAGCTCCAGGAAGGGACTCAGCGGGCACTGGGCTGCAGAGGACACAGGGCAGAGGTCGGCCTGAGCTCCCGAGGGCAGGCGGGGACGGCTGCCGGGTTACCCTCCATGCACAGACGAGGACAGCAGCAGCCGCTTGGCCCCAGCAAGGTGACAGCAAGCCCGACGGTCGGTGCTCATGGGTCAGACAGACACCTCAAGGACAGAGATTCCTGAGCTGAGCTTCACAGAGGACCTGCCTGTGATCTCGAGAGGGACACACAGAGAGTGGGGGCAGGCACCAAGCCACCTGGCTCCTGCCAGCTCCAGAGGCCTGGGCCCAGCTCTGGGTGGTGTGGGGCCGGAGGTGGCCTGGAAGGAGGTGGGAACTGCGTCCCTGACCTGCACTGGGAGACCAGGTGCTCGGCCTACAGCCCAAGCAGAGCCCACAGGATGGGGGGCCCAGCCTGCCCCACGCCTCTGGGGCCTGAGAGGCTGGCCACAGCCCACCGCCCTGGGACCTGCTCGCTGCACTTTCTGCAAGCCCATGCAGGAAGCTGTCCCCAGCGCCAGCGGGGCCGAGGGGCAGGCTAGGCTGCTGAGCAGAAGGCACGCCTGCCTCGGTCTGTCCAGAGCCACGGTCCAGCCCGTGTCCAGAGGGACATCGCCAGTGGGAACAGGATGGGGGGCAGTGCTGGGTTCACCTGTGGCAGAGCCCACAGGCTGGAGACTGGACAGCCAGGGGGCCTGCCCCTCTGCCCGGGGCACCACGTGGTGACCATACGCACCACAAGAGGCGCCAGAGCCCTGACTTCAGGGAACCACAGCTCTGAGCAGATGTCAGGCCATGGGGAATGGCTGGGGGGGCAGCCCCCAGGTGGGAGGTGGCTGAGGCTGGCATGGCACGGGGTGTCGAGGGCTCTCCCCACATGGCGTAGCAGGAAGCCCAGCCAGCACCGAAGGCCCTGGCAGAGGGCGGGTGGAAGGACCCAGATGGGGGTGCAGGCACCGTGGGGCAGGTCCCCAGGTCCCCATGCAGCCTGTGGGGATGTGGTTACCTTGGGGACCAGCTGAGGTCGGGGCACACCGAAGAGGTCACACAGGCGGTTGCGCTGGGCTCTCACCAGCGGGAGCTCTGCGTCCCTGGTTGGGGTTGGGGGGGGGGGTGTCAGCAAGGGGCAGGGCCCTGGGAAGCCCAGCCCCACACCAGCGGTGGCCGCTCTGCTGCTGGCACCACCGGGCCTGCAGGCAGACGAGCCCCCCAGCCGGCTCCCAGGACGGAGGGTGGGGGGGCCACAGCTCTCGCTGCATGATTTTAAGAAAATTTTGACTCTGAAGACTGTTTCCTTAATTCTCGTCACACATGGAAATTAAGCAGCACCGGCTCTGCAGACATGCGAGTCCCGCCCCCACCAGGGGCGCAGCCCCTGCACACGCACAGGGAGAAGGCGGGCCTGGGAGCGAGGGGCCCTTGACCCCACTGACAGTCACCAGCCCACGGACCCCAAAACATCGTGCCTGGCTCCCCGGACCCCTTGTCTCCCGAGGGGCCCACCCGCTTCACCCTGTGCCTGGCCCGCGTATTCTCTGCCAGCACTGAGGGCGGCTGTGGTCGGCCCAGGGGCACCTGCAGGTGGGGTGGGCGGGGCTGGCACGGCTGCTCCTGGGGGCTCCGTGCCATGCGCAGGCCAGAAAAGACAACCTGGAGAGGCCCGGGCCTGTCACTCACCAGGCCGTGTCGCTGAGCACAGTCAGCACCTCATTCAGCACGTCCACCCCCACAACGTCCCCATAGGTCAGCAGCATCTCATACACCTGGCTGGCCGTGGTCTTCCGGATCTGCAGGGCAGAGCCACAGTGGTGGGAAGCGGGCAGGACATGGGTTCCTGAGGGCACTGACCACCAGGCGCCGCGACGCAGCCCCTCCGGCCGCCAGATCAGGAGGCCAAGCGGTCCCCGCCCTGGGCCACACATCCTGTCAGGGGACGCATCTGTGCCATCCACCTGGTCGCGGCCCAAGCCCTGCCTCAGCTGGCTGAGGCTTGGTGGCCTGGGTACCCAAGGGGACACTGGAAGCCAGGTCCACCCCCAGGTGGACGGGGACACTCACCATGGGGAAGGGGTGGCAGAGGAGCAGGGACAGCTGCAGCAGCACCTTCTTCCGCACGGCGCCAGGGAACTGCACCATCCCACAGAACCTGGGGGAGGCACGGGTCAGCGGGGCGGGCGGGGCCGGCATGCGGGCATGTGGGGTGCCGGCTGGGGGTCCGGGCACGTGCACACCCGCATGCACCAGGGCATGTGTTAACACTGGCCTGGGCTGGGAGGATGCCCAGGACACGTGGGGGTGCCCGTGGGGCGCAGCCTCAGGGCTGTCTGCAGGGGGCACATAGGCTGAGGCTGGGCTGGCAGTGCCGGCTGGCCCGTGTCCACCCCACACTGCACAGCAGGCCCTGGGCCAGAGGGCTGATCTCCAGGGGCCGGATCTCCAGGGCGGGGGCGGCACTCACACGGCCACGCTCGACCGGAGTTTCTGGACATCTTTAGACTTCTTGGTCTCCTCCCTGCAGAGCTCCAGCAGCTTCACGCAGAAGGGGTGGCTGCAAGGACAGCGCATGAGAGCCCTCGCCCCACCCACCCCTGCTTGTGCCCATGCCCATGGCCCTCGTCGGTGGGCATGCTGACCCCAGTGCCCGCTGGCCTGCTTGGCGACACCGACGGCCAGCACCCCTGTGGGCACAAGGAGAGCCCAGGCCAGCAGGGTGACTGGGACCCCAGAGGAGGCTGGCTGGTGCCCGGGGTCCAGCCGAGTGCTGGGCTGAGAAGGACGTGGGGCCAGGGTGGCAGGGCCAAAAGGGTGCCTAGGAGACGTGCCTCTTCTGAGGTTCCCGGCCAGCAGCTATGCCCCCAGCCCCCCAAGTGAGCTACAAACGTGCAGTGTGGGCTGAGGGGGCCACGAGCCCTGCTCCCCGATCCTGCCCGCGGGCTGGAGGTTGCCCCAGGCAGGGGTGGAAGGGCACAGAAAGGGGCTCCGCGCCATGGTGGGAGGGTGGGCGGGCGCCGCCACCACTGCAACAGCGTGGAGGGTGACAGGACCGAAGCCTGCAGCCTGAGTATCTTGCTCTGGTGTCCTCCCAGGGAACAGAAACCCACTCTGGAGAGACCTGGCCCCCACGCTCCCCCGGCGCTCACAGCAGCCGCAGACACCGTGCACCGCCGCACGCCTCGGCCGAGCAGGAGGGGCCGGCAGGAGCTGGGGGCTGCGCTAAACGCAGCAAGTCAAGGCAGCCAGCGTCATCCCGAGGGGTGAGGAATAGCCTTAGGCTCTAAGGACGAAGCGGGGGCAGGCGGGCGAGGTCACTGGCCCAGGGTGGGCTGTGTGGAGAGGCGGCGCAGGGCGTGGCTGGTGGGGGGCAGGTGCTCGCAGAGCCCAGCACACGGCGTCGAGCCCACTGGCCAGCGCAGGCTCAGAGTCAAAGGAGCAGCCGAGGCCATGGAGGTGGAACAGGCTGGCCTGGCCACCTGGCCCAGAGAGCGGCCGTGCCCAGTCACAGGAGGAGGCCTGAGGCTGAGAGCTCCAGGTCAGCCCAGGCCTAACCACAGGCCGTGTCCGGCACGAGTCCAGTGCCCAGGGGTGTAAAGGCCACCCGGGCCCGTGACCAGGGGCCCAGTCTCAGCCCCACCCCGGCTCCATCCACCGGGGTGACCGAGTCCTCCTACCACACCAGAGCCAGCCATCACAGGCCCCGGCAGGGACCGCCCACAGCCGTCCCCTGCCAGGGGCCCCAGGCCTGCTCACGTCCATTTCCCCTGGGCAGCAGGTGGGCGCGGAGCCCGCAGGAGCGCTTTGGGAAGGGGCACGCGGCCCAGCATGTTCCCAGCGTGGGCAGCGCAGGCCCTGGCGAGCCTGTCCCGCGCGGCGGGCCAGCGGGGCGGCGCACTCACTCCTCCTCCGAGGTGAAGGTGTCGAAGCAGCCGTTGGCCAGCATCTGGTCCAGTGTCCTCAGCAGCGGCACGGACACCCTGGGGAGAAGACCCGCTTGAGAGCCAGGCAGCAGGGGTGAGGGAGAGCGGCGCGGGGCCTTCCACCGCCCCGGGACCCTGGAGTCCGCAACCGCAGGAGCCCGGCGCCCACGAGCAGGCCCCACCCCAGACGGCCACAGCACTCCCGCCGCACCGATGCCACGGCCGTCACGGGGGGCTGGCGCCCCACGGCTGCCAGGAAGGCCAGGGCCACCGTGGCAGGAGGCGCAGCCCAGAAAGGCCCCGAGCGCCCGGGCCGGCCTGCGCTCGCTGCAGGAGGCGGGTCGTGTGCGGCCTCCACAGGCAGTCAGCGCAGCCGGGACCAAGGAGCCGCTTGCCCCACCGGGCTCCACTGCTGGTGCCACTGGCGTCTGCCGCACCGCCCAGTGCCCATGGGGGACCCCTGCCCCCCGAGTCCCGGCGAGAACGGCCCCTCCTCACCTGTCATTCAGGAGGTTGTCCTCAAACACCTGCAGGAGGGTCCCTGCAAAGCTGTCCAGGGCCTGCATGTCGCCCTGCAGGCCCCTGGTGAACTCCAGCAGGCTCTGGGTGGAGTGCCGGACCTGAGGAGAGCTGTGCTTGGAGGCTGCCAGGGCCTGCGGCGCCCCCTGCATCTGCTGCGGGGCAGGCACCCAGCAGGCCTGGCCACCCCGGAGACCCAGGGAGGGTAAAGCAGTGCAAGGAGGAGGGCACAGTGCGAGGGTGGGCCTGAGGGCAGTCCCCACCCTGCCGGAGGGCCCTCACCCCGGCCAGCAGAGATGGGGGGAGGGAAACAGACAAGGAAGAGGAGCCCGGGGCACAGCAGGCTGCAATGCTGGGCCAGGAGCCCGCAGCCATCTGTGCTGGGCACCTCAGACATGGCCAGTCCCCACCGGCGCCCAGCAGCACCCTGGATGGAGGCCCCAGGACAGCCTGGGGAGCATGAGGACCTGACGCCCCCAGCACGGCAACACCCCAGGACACGCTGCCCCCCCAAGACCCACCCAGGCCCCTCGAGCCCTAGGGTGGAGACCCCAGACTGCCCCTGAAGAGGAGCTGGCAGGGCAGGGCCGGGGCCCCTCACCGTGGACTCCGTCAGGCCACCCACAGACACGGCCAGCCCCAGCAGGACGCGGTAGCGGTAGGCGGGCAGCCCCAGGAGCCGAGTGATGCGTGGGAAGGCCTGGGAGGCGGCGCTCCAGTCCACAGCGGCCACCTCCGACCTGCGGGGAGCGAGCACAGCTGGAGTGCAGGGCGAGGGGAGCTGGGGCTGCCACACGCTGGTGGGGGAAGTGCCCGTGGGAGTGGGGCAGGGCTGCTCCTGCTCCCCGTGGGGGCATGTGGGGGCCGTGCCCTGGGTACCTGGGAAAGAGCTTCTCCAGCTCCTCGCGGTGGGGCACGTGGGGCACGGGGGGCCGTCGGGGTGCAGCAGCCGCAGGAACACGCGGGCAGCGTGTGCGCGGAACCGGTCGATCTTCTCACTGGCCTGCTGGGCCAGGCCAGCCATGACCTGCTCGCAGCTGTGGGTGGGGGGAAGGAGGGTGGCCATCAGCACCCAGGACACCCCGGCCCCAGCCTGCACAGCAGCCCCACAGCTGGGGGAGGCCAAGGGCTTTGTTGGGGGCGGTGGGGGGCAGAGGGCAAGGAGGGGCGGGCATGAGGAGGCAGAGGGAGAGCGGGCTGGCAGGTCAGCGGGTCGGGGCGCAGGAGGGCATGGACATAAGAGGCAACCGCTGGTTGGGGAGCTTGGGTGCCGCTGAGGGTGCAGGCGGGTGGGGGTGCAGCGGCACACTCACACGCTGGCCTCGATCAGGTCAGGCTGGTCCCTGGCCAGCAAGAGCGTCAGGTCCATCAGACTGGTCATGGCGGCCTCACGGACCCTGCAGGCACACGGAGCAGTGAGTGAGGAGCCGGGGCCCACCCAGGCCCTTCCGCGCCAGGAAGTGCTCGCCAGCGGAGCAGGGAGGGCAGGGCCAGCCCCCAGACCAGCCACAGGAGCCGCCACTCCCAGGGGCCCCCGGGCCGGGGCGGGAAGCCCTGGGCTGTTCCAGGAGCAGGACGCCGCTCTGGACATGAGCCCCCATGCCGAACCCACGAGCCGCGGGCCCAAGCAAAGCAGCATAGCTCAGGGGACGGGAGGGCAGGGCCTCTGCAGCTCACCCGTGCACGGGCCGTCCCCCAGGATCTGGACCCTGAGCTTGTCCCGCTCAGCAGAGCCCCGAACCCAAAGTCCAGCCGGACCCCAGAGCAACCAAGGTGGATCAGGTGGGACGGCCGGGCCCTCCTCGTGCCCAGGTGGCCCCGCCAGCTGCCCACGGGACACCAGGGAAGCAAAGCTGCTTACCAGGCGCCCACATCCCCGCGGCTGTCGGTGGTGTAGTCCTGCAGGCAGGCCAGCAGCGTGCGGTACACCTGCGGCACGTTCGCCTGGCACAGGGCCTCAGCCGGGCGCCCTTCTGCCTTCACGCCGACAGTCTGGCAGACCCTGAAACATGGCATGTGACCCGTCCCTGCCCCATTTCAGGTCATCTCTGCCTGAGGGTGCAGGACAGGCCTGGAGCCCCCCTGGCAGGCTCGGGTCACGCCCCCTGCCTGGCCCCAGCAGAGAGGCCTCCTGCGTGGACTCCCTGGAGCCGGCCCCTGGGGAGGAAGAGCTCTCGTGGCCACACCAAGGCGTGTGCCCCTCGGCAGCCGGGAGCAGAGCCCCGGGTTGAGGCCCAGGGTCAGCGGCCAAGCCAAAAACCTTCCGATAGCAGGAGAAGCAGAGTGAAAAGAACTGAGCTTTGCCTCCTCAGGGCCAGCGGCCAGCTTCCCACCCATGGACGGCCGTGGCGTCTGGGGACGGGCCGTGAGAGGACAGTGCCTGTGGGGAGCAGATAGGCACTCACCTAGTGATGGCCTTCAAGGCGTCCCGCCGGGCCTCTGCGAAACTCACGTCCGCGGGAGAGATGTGGGTGACAGCCCCCAAGCCTGCGAGGACCTGCAGAGCCACAGAGCTCTTGCACCCAATGAGGGGGCAGCCCCCAGGAGAGCACCCAGTGTCCTCTGGTCCCACCCTCTGTGGGGGGAACGCCCAGGAGACCCTGCAGTCCAGCCCAGGTGTGCTGATCCCAGATAGGCCACACGTCCTTCAAGGTGCCATTAGCTCCAAGGCCAGTGTCTCTAGTGGTAAGCAGCGCGGGGCCGTATACCGCCCTACTGGGTGGCAGTGAGCCCACCCTCACCCCCGCAGATTCGGGGTCTGGGCCCGATTTCCCAGCCATGCTGTGCGGGGGTGGCCTACAGGTGCAGGCGCTGGAGCAGGACATGGGGGGCGGGGCGGGGCAGCCAGGATCCTGAAGGGCCCCGTCAGGTGTGAGTGTGGTGGGCTGAGGTCAGGCTGGGGTGCCGGGCAGTGGGCAGCCCTCCTTGGAACTGTCGGGGGGCTCAGGACCCAAATCAGGGCCTCAGGAGGGCAGCGGCCAGCCCTGAGAGGCAGAGAGCGTAGACAGCACAGCTCGAGGCACAGGGAGGCGGGAAGGCCCTGGGGCGGGAATGGGGAAGTTCCGGGCCAGTGTCCTGGATCGCCACAGTGGGGGGTGGGGCTGAGGAGCAGTGCTGGGGGGGGGGGGGGAGCCCATCTGGTGGGGGCAAGAAGCTTCCGGGGTGCCAAAGCGGGCCGGGAGACGCGGTGGAGACCGCGCGAGCACCCCACCGTGGGGTGTCCCCACCAAGCAGCTCCCTCCTGCCGGGCAGCAGCTCCCGCTCCAGGATGAGAACCCCACCCCTCCTGTGGCAGCCACCCTCCAGTACCCCCTAAGCCAGGCGCACCACAGGGCACTGAGCTGCGGCCCCTCCCACCACACCGGATAAGCTCCTCGGCCGCCTTTTTGGGCCGGATGTCAGAGCAGGACGCCTGCCCGCTCACCTGCTGCAGCCGGCCCCGCAGAAGGAAGCCGGGGAGGGCGCCCAGGGCCAGCGAGAAGCCGCAGCGCGTCGTCTCCTCCGGGCTCCGCAGCTCCGCCAGGTACTGCTCCACCAGCGCCTCTGCAAGGAAGCGGGGTGTCACTGCCCGCGGCGCCTCGGCACACGGCCTGCAGCGTGGAGGGGGCAGCCCCGCGGCTTCTGAAGCAGACTCTATCCGGGGTAGAACCAGAGCGTGTGAACAGGGAACCTCTGGGAACGGGGCTTCCAGCTTCCGTGAGCACGAACACCTCCGAGCTCACTCTCAGGAAAACAGGTCCACGAGGTGTGAGTGACGCTGCCCGACTTCCCCCTTTCACTCACTAAGCCTGTTACAGAGCAGCCCCGATACAAAACGGGGTGCCTGACTGTGGGTCCTCACCCGCGCGCTATTTTCCCCTAACAAGACCACAAGTTATCGGGGACGCCTCCCTCAGAAATGAGTGTCCGCAAAGGCCGGAGCAGGTGCAGCCCCAGGCTGACGCCAGGGCGCGGCCAATGAGCTTCCCAGGCAGGGCGGGACAGGGCAGGGCTGCCTGCCAGGGAGGGTCCCTAGACATCCACGAAGCGGGGGGTGGGGGGGGTGGGGGGGTGGGGAGGCACCTCCCACCTCTCCTGCCTCCTGCAGCCCCCAAGGCGCCCCGTGCCACAGTGTGTCTGGGAGCGAGCAAGGGCGCTTGGCTGTCGCAGGCACTGCTGGGCCGTCTGGGGGTGCAGTGGGGGCAGCAAGAGCAGAGCTCCCCTCCTCCGGACCCTTCGGCGAGACCCCAGCCCCCAGGAGGGGCTAATTTCAGAGAATACTTTCGCCTTCTGTGCAGATGGAGGCGGCGCGCCCCGCAGGTGGAAAGTAAAGTGTGGCCGCCCCGGACACAGACAAGATAACAGACGAGATAACGTGCTGACCCTGTGTGAACGTGCCCGCGGCTCGCTCGCAAAGTCTGTTAGGAGGTTACGGTACGGAACATGATTTTGTGTTTCTGAAAACCACAAAGCAGATTTAGACTTCTGTACACAATGTTTTTGAACACTGAAGACGATTTGTGAATCACCCTTCACACGCCTTTGAGTAACTGTCGTGCGTGCTGCATGAAATGGGGCAGTAAAACATGTGAGCACGGAGGTTTAATTCCTGCGTGAGACCATGGACTGGGTCCCAGAAACACACACGGTCAGGGACTCCCAGAGGCGGCTCAGGAAGACCTGAGGCCCAGCTGGGCCGGAGGCGGCTGCCAGAGGCGCCGTGGAGGGTGGGAGCCCAGCGTGCCGACTTGGGGGGACTCAGGGGGCCCGGGAGCCTAGCCAGGGCAGCCCTGACAGCCAGCGGTCCCTGCTGACGGGCCGGGGCCAGAGGGACACGCGAGACCTCAGGGCAGACGGCGCCAGCAGAGCTCAGTGAGGAGACGTCACGACAAGACAAGGGGCTGAGGACAAAGATAGGAGAAGGAAACCTGAATGGACAGAAGCACGAGAATGAGGTGACACGGGAGGAGATGTTCACGCAAAAGCACAGAGGCTGCAGACGGGTGGAGGGGGGTTCAGCGCAGCACGCGGGCTCCGGAGGATGGGGGTGGGGGGGAGCGCAGCACGAAGGCTCCAGAGGACGGGGTGGGCGGGGGGAGGGGTGCGCAGTACGCGGGCTCCAGAGAACGGGGGTGGGGGGGCGGGATGCTCCGGAGCCTGAGCATGCACCTGCTGGGCCGCAAGGGGCCCGCCCAGCACACCCGGCTCCGTCCAGGGCCGAGGCGCATCCTCAGGCAGGTGCTCGGAGCCAGCGGGGCCGAGGGTCACTGCGGCGCGTCAGTAGGTGTGCCCCCCGTGGCTCCTCAGGCCCCCACGCCCATCACCCTTGGTCTACAAGATCAACCCCAAATGGACCCGGCATGACTGCCCAGCTCTGCCCCCCCAGTGGCAGCCAAAGCCCCGCTGCCCGGGCCACTCACCCTGCCTGGGGGCCCCGGGCTCCGTGCGGTGGTACTCACTGCAGAGGGCGGCCAGGGCAGCGACGGCCGCGTCCTGAAACAGAGAGGGCGTGAGGGCTGGGGCGGGGTGGGGTGGGGGGTGGGGTGCCAGGGCCTTAGGCCCAGCAGCCCAGCCACATTGCCCCTTCCGGGTGCCCGCTCCTCTGTCCTCTGTGGACAACGACTGGACAGGGGAATTCTGGGTCCCTATGCGCCACAAGCAGAGCGGGCTCCAGGAGAAGGGCTGGCCAGGGGCCCAGAGCACGGGCAGGCCGGCCAGCCTGCTGCAGGCGAGAGGCCATGGAAAGACCTGGACACGATGCTCAGAGACCACGGGCGCAGCTGCACAAGGACCCGAAGGGCGGAGCCCTGGGGGGCCCGGAGAGGCGGCCTGAGCCGGGACAGCTGCCACGGCACCCGTGTCCCGCCGCGCCCCCAGACAGCCCGTGCAGATGGACGGGGTCTCACCCATGCAGGCGGGGGACCCGGCGGCCTGCCTGCTCCAAGCCTGACGCTGCCAGGCCGCCGCGTGGGCGCTTCAGAGGCTGGTTCCAAGCCGACTCACAGCCCTGGACGTGGCACTCGTCACAGCCAGCGTAGGGCATGCTGACGAGGTGATTACGGTGAACGGGCACAAACAGCCGTACAAAATTTAAATATGCTGCAAACCAACGGCTGCGCTCGTTTCCTGGCTGTCAGCAGCGTGCACGGCACCATCTGGAGGCCCCAAGGGGCGCAGGTGCTTACCGGGCACCAAGTCTCCACGTGGGGCCTGGAGCCGCTGGGACAGCTGCAGGTAGAGCTCATGCCCGTCTCTGCAGGCAGCAGCCGGAGCGCACGCTCACCTTGATCTGCTGTCGGGAGTGACTGGAAACGAGATGGAGATTCCTCAGTGTGTCGTGGATGAGCCACTGCCAGCCCCCTGCAAGGGACGCCGCCGTCAGCCCGTCAGCTGGCCGCGGGGACCTGGAGCGGCCTGAAGCGAGTACCCTGGGGCCGGCGTGACTCACAGGGAGACGCGGACGCCTTCACTGACAGTGGGGAAGGGGAAACTGCTCTGACCCCGCACACTGCCAGCCCCTCAAGCCCCCTGCGGCCCCCAGGTGAAAGCCTAGCACCCGTCCCAGCAGAGCCAACCCGCACAAGCGTCTTTTTCTTTGACGCTCCTGAGCCTCTGAGGCTGCAGAGCAAACAGCAGAGCGGGCCCAGTTGAAGGTGGCCCGAGGCCCACCGCCCACAGCACAGGGTGAGGGCGGCCAGGCGCTGAGGCTCCCCGGATGGGGTGCGTGGTATGTTGGGAACACGGGGCTCTTGCACCGGGAACCCTTATCCCCCATGCAGCCAGGCCTACTCTTACGCTCAGTGCAGGGGCTCTGGGGGCGCCACAACGTGGGGAGGAGGAAAAGCACTGACCGACCACGGCTCCATCCTTGACGGGCAGGCCGGAGAGCGACAAGCTTTCTATCAGGACGCACACTGGGAGACAGAGCACAGGCCGACGTCACTCCCCTCACGGTGGCAGCCCTGCCCCGAACCCCGCCCCGTCCCCCGTCCCCCAGGCCCCGTCCCAGGGCTGCGGGCAGCCGAGGCCAACCGAGAGCACAGCTCTGGGGCGGCACAGGGGACCCTCCCCCAGCCGGGGACGGGGGTGGTGGGTGAGGGCCCGCAGCAGCACGTGTGGGAAGGAGCTGGCTGTGCGGGGAGAGGGCCTGGCCACACGGAGGACGGGCTCCCGCACAGCTGGGCAGGGCGGCGCTCCTCGAAGGCCCATGCGCGGCAGAAGAGCCTGCGCCCTCGGCCCGTGCCCCAAAGCCAAAGCGGCCTGGGGCTTTCTCTCCAGACCTGTGATCGGCTGCCACTGGCTGGAACTCTCACCACTACAGGAAAGCGCAGGGCAGGAGGCTTGCGGACGCCCCGGAGCGCGCCCTTCTGCGCTTCACGTACCCAGCCGGGGTGGTGGCCTGAGCCAAGCAGACCTGACCCAGCCCACACAGCAGCCCCTTCTGGGACCCAGGCTGTGACCTTGCCCCAGCCTGCTCGGTGTCACTAGGTGGGCCGCGGGGCCCCTCCCCACGCTCAGCACGTGCACCCGCCTCCGGCCAGGCCAGCAGGGTACAGAGGAGCCTCGGGAGTGTCAGGGCAGACGGCAGCACGGAGCCCCTGGGTCACCAGCAAGCCCAGCTGGCCGCTCCCACCAGCTCCCAGCACGGCGCAATGGGCCCACTGCAGCAGCCTGGAGAGCGTGCTCGGGCCCTGCCGCAGCAGCCAAGTGCACCTGGGCCTCCAGGACGGGGGCAGAAAGGCCCAAGGGGACACCGCAAGGCCAGTTAGCTGGGCCTTTGCTCAATCAAGCTGGCCAGAGGGAAAGGGGTCTCTCCCCAACTCCGTCCCATTTGAGTTCCGACTAGAAGAGCAACATCCCCCGTCACCCCTGCAGCAGCCCCGGCGCGCCCACCGCCACCCCTGCCTGCCCTGCCCACGGCCAGGCCCGCTGCCCGCCGGACATACACGCAGGCCCCGTCCTTCAGACCTACCTGCGGCTCTCATGAGCTCGCCTCCCAGGCCCCTGAAACGAGGAAACACCTAGTCACGCTCCAGAAGCCACAGCGGCGTCCTCACTGCCACAGCCGCACCTCCTGAGAGCAGGGGCCGCTCCCTCAGGGGTGGCGGGACCTGGAGGAGACGCCACCGCCGCCCCGCGGGGCCCCTGCCGACGCCGTGCCGACGGGACCCCACATGCCGGCCTCCCCACGAAGGTCCCCCCCGGGCCCTCAAGCTGCGCCCCAGAGTCTGAGGGGCTGAGCGTGCAGAACCGCATCGCCACAAAACCCACGGAAAAACCGCCCACTCCAGACGCCTGCCCACGTTCGGGCTGGCCAGGGAGCTGGGTTGTGGACGGGACACTGAGAAGAAGACAAACCAACACGAGGCTCTGGGATCTCCCCACGGAGCAGCAGGGGTGGAGCTGCCTCCGCCCAAGATGGGGTCAGGCGCCAGGAAGTGTCCACGCGGCACTGGGTGAGCCGGGGACAGCAGCAGTGGCCGCCAGAGTGGAGGGGTGGCCACAGTCTCTGGTGGCCACAGGCCAGACCCGTCATCATCAGCTAGCCCGGCATGGGGCCAGGAAGAGCAGGCGGTGCCGGCAAGGGCTGCGACGGGCCTCCACCAGCACCATGGGGTGCAGGTGGCAGGAAGGGGTGGCACGCGGGCCCCACCACTGCCGGGGTGCCGGGCCCCCGCGGAGGAGGGCAGAGGGTCAAGAAGCACAGCTGCGGTCTGGAGGAGCATCACGTGGACGTGGCAGTGGGGTAGGCCAAGGAAGGGTCACTGTGCAGATGCAGACAGCATGGGTGGAGCCGCAGGAAGGACACCAGGGACGCTGAGGGGCCAGCAGCTGCAGGAAGGCAGGCCACGGGCCTCAAGGGACAAGCTGAGTGTGGGCTCATCCTGCCAAACTCCCAGAGACAAGGACAGATTGGGGGGGGGGGGCGCGGTTGCCCGGAAGAGCCCACTCCTCGTAGTTGTCCACTGGCCACTCACCATGGGGCCGAGCCCACACACACTTGGGGTCCACAGGAACTCCACAGCCCCTTTGTGCATCACACAAGCACCCACGACTGTCACCCCATCACCCGGTACGTCACCTGAGCTACCCTGGCCCCAGAGGAGCCCTGGCAGAGGCAGAGAAGGCTGTGGCTGGACCACGGCCTGGGCTCTACAGCAGACCCCCAGGCAGGCCAAGCCAGTGTGGGCACAGCAGGGCGCGAGGGAAGGCCCCTCTCCCGGGCAAAGCGACAGAGAACACCGCGCCGCCCGTTGGGGCGTGGAGCTCACCCCGAGGGTCAACCCAGGCCACGCAGAGCTCCCTGGGCCGCTACTAGCAAGGCCACCCCCTGGCTGACAGCACCACCCCAGCCCGCTGGACACCCGCTGCCCTGTCCGTCCGCCAGCTCAGGCAGAGAGTCTGTAGGAGGCGCGGCCCCAGGGCTGGCGCAGTGTTAACACCTGAGGGCCCCCTGCAGAGGGGGCTGTCCCCACTACCAGGTCACCTCAGGGGAGGGTCTTAGGGAGGAGGCCCAGGGCTACCTGCAGCTCTCTGGGCCAACTGAAAGGCCTGCCTGGCCGGGCCACCTGGGGCCGCCACGGGGTCACGCATGTTCCTGCATGGAGCAAGGCACCTCGGCAGGAGATAAGGGTGGGGCTGGGGCCAGAAGCTCTGCAGCCTCGAGGCGCCCACCCAGGCCTGCCTCACACCGTTCACAGGCACGGCCTGGGCCTGGAAGCCGCCCCCTGCAGCTGCCCTCGGGTCCTGTGACCTGGAGAAGTGGCCAGTAAAGCACCGAGAAGGAGCCACAACAGCCCTGGGACACTGGGACCACCCAGCCCTGGGACCACCCAGCCCTGGGACCACCACACAGGACACTGCGAGGGCCTGGCCGACGGGCAGAGGACTGTGAGGCCGCAGGAGCCCGGGGCCTGGCTGACGTCCACACGGAGACCAGAGAACATGGAGCCGCAGGGCAAGCAGGGAGGCCACTCGAGGGCCTGGCCCAGCCCACCATATGCCCCACAGGACGCCATGCGGGCAGATCCTGGAGGCTGGTCTGGAAAGCGGCTCTGCGCACAGAAGGGTCAGGGAAGCCCAAGGCTGACTGCAGTGCTGGTCAGGGGTGCCGGGCAGAGACACGGGCTGCGAGGACCGGGGGTGACACTCACCTGTACAGCTGGCGGTCGAAGAGCTGGAAGTGAAAAGAGTGGACAGGGAGTCAGCGGGAGGCCGGCCGGCGATGGGACAGCAGGCCTGGACAGGGGAGCAGCCCCCAGGCCCCGCCGGCCACCCCCTGCTTGTGCCGCCTGGAGCCTGACCCACCGGGCCCAGGGCTGACCCCCACCTCCCTCATGGCCATGGAGAGGGCCTACCCCACGGCTGCGCCCACTGTGGGCCGCCGAGCCCCAGGCATCCCGCATGCCCCCAGAAAAGCTCAAGTGGCAGGTCTGCCATCAGCCACACTTCACAGATGGGGATGGTGCGGCTGGGGTCCCCACTCTCTCTCCCCTGCGGGTCCCGCTGCCCCTCGTGGCCCCGAACATCGGAGTGAAGCCTCCAGTCTAAAGGGAGGACTGTGAGCGGCCTGGGGGGCCAGACCCTGGAGCAAGCTGATGGCCCGTGCAGGACGTAGGTCTGGGTTAGGAGGAGACAAGGGCACCGACCAAGGCATGGGAGGCCCCCACCCTTTGGAGTGACCCTCACGCTGCCCTGCACTGGGGAGACCATGTCCCGTGAGAATCCCCAACCAGGAAAACGCACATACCACGGTGCCCCCCCGACCCCTGTGGCCCTCTGGCCCTCCCCCGGCCCCCGCCCCCCAGCGCCCCGCGGCCCTCCCTCCAGGTTCCGCCCCCCGTCCCCCCAGGCCTAGCAGGCAAGCACTGGGTGCAATTTCGGGGGCTCAGAGGCGGCCTAGACTGCCGGGCCTGTGCGCGAGGGGAAGCAGGCAGTTCCCCGCGAGGAAGTGGCTGGCCGGACCGAGGGCCGGGCTGAGGGAGGGGCCGCACGCACTCTCCAAGCGGCACCTGTCCTGGCACATGCCCGAGGACATGGCCTCACGAGGGACACAGCGACGAGCCTAGAGCCGGGCGCGCCGGCGGGCCCAGGGCCGCAGGGTGGGTCCTCCCGCGGCTGGGACCCTGGGCCTGGGCAGCGCAGGCGCAGCCCACTCACCTGCTGGTGGGTCTGCCTCAGGCCCTCCATGACCTCCTCATCCAGGTGGGCGGCAAGGGGCCTGCAGGCAACGGCAGCCAACTAAGCCCACGAGCCCCACTCAGACGTGTGCCCTGGAGCCCGACCACACGCGGGCCAGGCCCTTCCCCACTGAGCCCAGTGGGGCAGGGCAGCCGTGCTTGGGCTGCCTGGGAGGGAGGCCTTAGGGCAGCTGGGCCAGCTGGGGGCTGGTGTGTCAGTGTGGGGCGGATGAGTGGCCCTTGTCCAAAGGGAAGGTGCCGCCTTCAGGGACGAGGCAGAGAGAGCTGCTTGGGCTGGGAGTCTGGGCCGCGCCTGCCTGCAGCTTGGGGACAGGGCCGAGGCACCCGCGTGGCTGCCCTGGGGACAGGGACGGCCCTGGTCTCCCTGCAGCACAGAGGAACTGCCCAATTATCAGGTGAGACCGGACACAGCCCCCCCGGAGTGGAAAGCTTGGGGCAGGCCGTCCCCCGGGGCTCCAGGCTTGTGCCTGCAGAGCACTCAGGGTGAACGAGCGGGGGGCGCTGGCCACGAGTGACAGGACCAGAGGGTGCAACCCATGGGCAGCCGGCAGTCCTCGGGCAGGGCCGAGAGGGCCAGGGACGAGGGGCAGTGGAAGTGGGCGTGGGCAGTGGGCGGGTTCTGGAGGCTGCTCCTACCTGCCCTCCTGTGCCGCCAGCATGTGCAGGCCCCTGGTGACCTCGGCGCAGGCCAGCAGGGCCCCGTGCCGCGTGTGCAGGTCGGAGCTGTGCGTCAGGGACAGCAGGTGCGGGAGCACTGCGGGGACAGTGGTGTGAGTGTCTGCCGCCCGCCAGGCTCGGCGCCGCCTGGGGAGAGGTGCCCCGCACTGGGCCAGCCAGGCTGTGCCCTTGTGCACACGTGTGCTGGGAGGTGGGGGTGCGTGTGGCATGAGCGTGCGTGTGTGCAGCCATGGCTGAACCAGCGCCTACCGTGAGTGGCCATGTACTCGGGCGCCTGGGGGGTCAGGTTGCGCAGCGCCTTGGCGGACAGCTCTCTGATGATCCTGCGGGAGAGGATGGTCAGCCCTCCGCCGGCGACTCCATGTGCCGCGCCTCCGAGCCGGAGAGCGGACAGACATGCGCCAGGAGCCAAGTGGCCATGTGCCGAGGACGCATGGTGACACTCCGCTCGGTGACCATAACTGGACGAGGCCCAGCACGGCCTCCTCCAGGAACGGCGGCTTCCGGGTGCCTGGCAGCAGAGCCTCCAAACTCCCAGGAGGATAGCGACCCCGCCAGGGCCCTGACCTCCCGCGGTGGAGAAGGAAGAACGTCACGGGGGGGCACCCGCCGCGTCAGCACAGGCATTTCCAGCCAAATCCCACCTGACGAATTCTCGGCAGGGGACCGCGGGAGATGCGCCCAGGATGGGAGGGAGCTGAGCCCCGCAGGCCAGCCCTGGTACCAGGGGCTGATGGACAGCCCCTCTGGGCACCGGAAAGCAGGAGGGCTGGGCGACAGCCCTGGATGGAGCAGGAGCTGCCCTCGCCTTGGTGGTCAGGCAGCGGCAGGACCACATGGGTGCGAGACAGGCCCCTGGGAAGCCGCATCTGGTCTTGCCCCTTAACAGGTGCACGGTGCGGGGGGAGCACAGGTGGGGAGCGGCTGCCATGGAGGGCTTGGCCCAGAGCGCGCCCACAGCCTGGGCCCCGTCTGGCAGGGCCCTGTGCGAGGGTGGGTGGCCAGCAGGGGCCCTCGTGCCAACACCACCACGTGCAGCTGCACACATGGCGCCTCGCGCAGGCCCCATCCAGTGCCCAGCGGGATTGTCTCTGGAGTGCAGGGGCTGCCAAGGCTGCAGCGAGAGCATGGACCTCGGCAGGGAAGACCTGCTGCCGCCGGGCCCCGTGAGGACAGTGTGGAGGCCCTGCCGTGGGCTGCATGCCACCGTGTACATGGCCACCCGTCAGCCAATCAGAGGCCAAAGCCGTCAGCACTCAGAAGAGGACAGGAGGGAGTTTCACGACGGGTGTCTGCAGCACCGTCCCGACAGGCCACACAAACAACAGTCCGCCAAGGCGCCGGCCCCTGGGCCAGCAGGCAGCAAGGATGTCAGAGCCCGCCAGAGCAGCCTGCGGGCAGAGAGCAGTTGCCAACTGCCCCTGGCAAGGGCCAGCCTTGGGGTGACCAAAGAAGCCAGACCCGGCAGCAAACACCAGATAACGTGATTAAAAAACGGTCAAAGACCTTGAAGAGACACTTCTCCTGAGAGAATGGAAACAGCCAACAAGTGCGTGGATAGAGACTGGCGTGGCTGGTCACTGGGAGCCCCAATCAGACCACGACGGGGGCAGCTCATAGCCACCAGGATCACAGCCATGAAGCAGCGACCGGGACAGCAGGGCTGGCAAGGACATGGACACACGACTGAGGTGTGTGGTCTCGGGGAGTCGGTCTCCTCAGGAAACTCCACACAGGATGACCCCGTGACCCGCAATCCCGCGTGGGGTCTGCACCCCGGGAATGGGCAGGTGGCAGGTGAGTGGGTGAGTGAGACGTCTACCTTGAGGCAATTCCGGCCACAAGAGTGGGTGCCCCCAGGGCATCGGGTCACAAGAGCCCAGCCAGGCGCAGGGCAGACACCAGCTGCAGCCCGGGGCCGAGCGGGGCAAGGCGGGCCGGGGACCCTGCGGAGGACAAGGGCGCGGGGAGGCATCACCACTGCAGGGCTGTGTGGGAGGCAGGGCAGCGCCGGCAGGCGTCCCAGGCTGAGGGCTCCTTGGTAGGACCATGGCCAAGGATGGAGTTTGCATCTTTAAACAGTTGCGCAAATGAAAACAAACATCTTTACGTGGGACGTGGGGTCCTCTGAGGAGCCTGCAGTGGCTCCTCACACTGGCCGCTCTCCACACGAGGAGGCAGACGAGACGAGGGCGTCCGGGACGCGGGGCGCCGCAGCCAGGAGGCAACTACAGGAGTCAGCCAGGCACGCGCACCCGAGGCCACACCCAGGCCGGCCTGCTCTGGGGACAATTCCAGGTCAGACTGACTCGGGGCCCAGGGCCAGGCCGGCCTCCCTGCTCCAGGGCATCCAAAAGACAAGCGCTGTGGGGAGGAGGGCGCCCACCGCAGCTCTCCTCGGGGCGGCCTCTCACCCGACACAAGCTCGTGAGATACAGTTTAAGGCCGACGCCACACAGACCTACCCATCCCAGTGGCCGATCTTCATGGTCAGCAGGTGGTCGATCATGGGCCGCGTGTACTCGGTGAAGCCCGCGATGGTCGTGCTGCGGGGACAGGGCAGAGGCGGCATAGGGCTGGCGGCCGAGAGGCGGGGCGAGCGGGACCGAGGGACCCAATGGGTTAAAAGCACAGGCCGAGAGTCCCCCGGCTTGAAGGAGCTGCTTTGCAGACCCAGCCCTCCCCCCGCAGGGCGCCGGGACGGGCTCCCTCCAGGTGCGGGACACAGGCAGGTGCCGAGGCGGCTGTGCACTCCCCTAACTGCACCGGGCCGCGCGCCCACCCTGGTCCCAAGCGTCGGCCCGCGCTGGCTCACCAGCCATGGGAAGTGCTGTTTCCACGGGACAGGAAGAGTCACCTCCAGCCCCACAGCCAGGATTCGCCCCACAGCCCCACCATGCGGAGCCCAGACCCCAGCCCAGCCCACACGGGTGCACACAGGGGCACACGATGGCCAGAAGGTTCAATCCAAGGCAGCACCTCAAAACTGCCCACTTGAGAAAGGAAGCCAGCGTCTCCCCAGCGACTCCCCGCGGGGCCAGCACCCCGGGGTGCCTCTGGAGGGGCTGCACCTCCACTCACCCCCACCCTGGGCACCGCACCCCACACCAGCACCCTGCCCACTCCCCCAGCTTTCACGCAGGTGGAACCAGATAGGCGGCTCCGGCCGGCCTAAGGGAAATGTGCTGACGCCTCCAACCCCACGGCTGCTCTTCACACACAGCGCCATCGGCCCTGAGACGCACGGGCCTGAGCTGCCACAGCTAAGTCAGAAGCGACACGTCTCGCGACAAGTCGCGAAGCCTCACCTGATGACGAGGAAGCAGTTGGAGATGTTGCCAACAGCAAAGTAGTCAGCTGCGGTCAGAATGTCGATCCCGTGAGGGAAAGTGCCCTAAAAGACAGGGGGGCAGTGAGGACCGGCCGACGGAAGGGCCAGTCCCCACGCTCCCGTTCACCCCCGCTGGCGAACACAGAGGCACAGCCGCCTGCCCCGGCGGGACAAGCGGGGATCACGGGGCCACTTAGAAACTCTGCACTTTCTGTCAGATGGCCCCTCAGACGCGGTGGCCCGGGGCGTGGTGAGCGTGTCCGTGGAGCCCACGGCATCAGCCTGCTGCTCCCGGCAGCCGCGCACTGCGGTCTCCGCCCTCCCGCCTGGAGGTGCCCCGGCCACTGAGGACAGGCTGACCAGCAGCGCCCATTCACACAGCTGCAATGCCCGCCTCCCACACCACTCCCCGGGGGCGCCAGTGCTACCAGACGTGCTGGCCGCGGCTCGGCGCCCATCTCCAGGGCGCGGGGCTGGCCAAGGTCCCCTGGAGACAGCAGTAGTGGCTGGGCGCTCGCCACGTGTGGCCTGCCCGTGCGCGCCTCCCCTTGCCCTTAGCTGCCGCCTCACACAGCCCAGGTGGGTCCTGGGCAGCAGCGGTCGACGCCCCGCAGGCGGCCCCTCCACCCATGGAGGTCGGGGTCACGGCTGCCTGTGCCTCGAGGCCGGGCCCGCAGGCCCCTCCCCCGACACGGCCCTCAGCAGCACGTGTGTGTGAGCATGGGCATGTGTGCACGCGCACTGCTTGCGCGCCAGGGCAGGGGGCGCCTCGGCGCACACGCAGGCTCCCTACAGGAACTGCCGCAGCCCGGCCGAGGGGGGCCGGTTCCAGCCTGGGCTCCGCGCCAGCATATGCGGCTCCCAGCGCCCCCTCCAGCCCCCAGGAAGCTCCAGGAAGGAAGGGTCGGGGTCACCGTACCTGTCTCCCCACGTTCTCCTGGAAGGCGGCCTGTGGGCAGAGAAGAGCGGCGTCAGGCTGGCTTCACGGCACCGAGCGGTCAACTGGAGCAGACGCGCCGGGAAGCGCCAGCCCTGCTGACAGCCGCAGGGCCCGACCGGACCATGAGAGCCAGGCGGCTGCTAAACAAGAGCCTGACGACCGGCCTGGGGCGCGGCTGGGTGGCGGGGCACATTGCATCGGCTGCTGAGCGGTGGGCGCGCAGGCCCACAGACGGTCAAGAGGTCTCAACGTGGCGGCGTCGCAGGCAGCATCCTTGCGACCCCAGCCCCCGGAGGGACCCCACGCCTGCTGCCCACCCCGGCATGGGGATGGCGAGGGCCTGGGCACGGCAAGGCTCCCCCACCCGTCGTTCCTCCCGAAGTGGCGGGGCCCCCTCAGGTGACAGGGCAGGTGACAAGGTGCGTGGCCGGGGAGGGCAGCACTCCCGCTGCTCTGAAGGGGAGTCCTTGGCAGGGCCTAGGCTGTCTCACCTGCCTCTCAAGACCCCCTCATCCCCGGCCCCCCTCACGGGGGGGCCCCAACGCCACGAGACCAGAACGCCAAGCTCCGGGCCCCTGCCAGTGCCGCCCGCAGCCGTCTCAGAACACTGCCCCGGACAAGCCGTGGCTCAAGGGGAGGCGCTGGCCCCGCCCCCGCCAGCCGCCCCCCTCACTGGCACCGTGGGACCCCAGAGTCTGCTCTGCCGGAGGAGTGCACTCGGCCGTGCCTCAGCCCCTCCATCCGGACCCCGCGCCCAGCTCTGCTGCTCCACATTCGAGGCCCGGTCAGCGGGCCCAGAGGTTGAGGGTGGCCAGGATGCCAGGGCCTCTGCCTCCTGAGCCACCCGCGCTATGTCCACCAGGCCATGCCCCAGGGGCCTGTCCTTCCACAGTTGGGCAATGGCCGGGTGGTGTCGCCCATGATGCTCAGGACGTGCCCCACAGGGCACCCTCCTGGCCCCACAGACCCACCACAGACCGCGGCCTTGCCCCAGTGGCCGCTTAGGCAGCCCCAGGTGCTCTTGGGGGCCGGCCGGAGCTGCCCGCTGCCCGCACCCCCAAGAGAGGCCCCGCTGGGACTCACGGAGGCGGCCCGCCTGCAGTTCACGTTCCGGTCAAACAGCGCGGCAACCACCAGGGCACTGCAGAGAAGAGGGGAGAGGTCACTCGGGCCCTGTGTGGGCACCCAGGCCACAGCAGAGTCCTCCTCCTTGCTTTCCCTCCCAGGTCCGGACATCGGCGAGGCCGCGGGCAACGCCAGGGCCCCAAGGGACACGACAGCACCAGCAAGGGGGGCCCAGTGGCAGGCAGGCCCCCTGAGAAAGCAAGGGGGGCCCCCTGAGAAAGCAGGTGCCCCAGTGCAGAGACAGCTAGAGGGGGTTGCACCCCACTCTAGGACGGAGGCGGGACTGTCCCTTGTGGACGAGGCCTCAGGGGCTCTGGCAGCAGGAGGGCCCGAGGCCAGAGACCCCAGCAGGCACAGCAGATGGCGACTGGCTGTCACAGCCCTGGGAGCATGCCCCCCACGCTCCCAAAGCGGCACTCCGCTCAGCCGCGACCAGACCCCGTGCTGGCCACCGCGGTAGATGCCTGGGAGGTGCTCACGAAGGACCGGGGCGCGGGGACGACACGTCTCCACGTGACCCGCGAGTGTGCACGTCACACCCGCCTCTGGGGAGAGGTTCTGCACGTGGATTTCAGACACCCTGTCACCCCGAAGGGAGCCCCGCAGCTGGGGCCTCACGCGGCCAACGCGACCACGTGCGCTGACCAGCTGACCTTGCCGAGGGCGTGACCTGCAGACACAGTCGAGGCCCAGGACCTCAGGGTGTTAGGAAGCAGGGGCTGGGAGACACTGGAGGGGCCCAGTGGCTGCCGGCCTCGAAGGGGGAGGGAGAGGCCAGGGGCCGAGGGGCAGGGCGGCGCCCGGCGTCCTCAGGAAGAAACCAGCCCCACCACACCCACGTGGCCCCTGCGACCCAGGCGGGCCTGTGGCCACCGCGTCCAATCGAGAAGACCCCTGCGCAGTCGGGGAGCCGAACGCGAGCGCGTGGAAGGGCTGACCACACGGCGACCACTGCCCGCAGCCAGAGCGGCGCTGCTATGGCTCCTGCTCCCCCAGAAGGCACCTCAGAGTGCCCGCCCCAGGGGCGGCGGGCGGCATCTGGGCCCTGTGCACAGTGTCGCTGCCGCGGCCCTAACACACGAGAGTCTGCACCCCGCCTGAGCGCACGGCGGCCCGGGTGCGCCCCTTGGCAGTGTGGCCTGCTTGCAGGCTGGCACAGGTGCAGCGCGAGGGCCGGGAGTGGGGCAGGGGCTCGGTGTGTGGGCGAGAACATGGGCTCCCAAAACACGCGCCTGGCCACGGGGGGCAAGGGTGCAAGGGAGGGCACGCGTGTGCATGTGAGTAATGGGGGTCAGTGTGAGAGGCGTGACGTGGGGCTGCGCGGGCTCAAATGTGAGCAGGACCAGGCCTCGGGCCGCAGCCATCTCCCCAGAGGCCCCGGAGCCTGGAGCTGGAGATAAAGCACCAGGGAGGAAGCGGATGAGGGTGCAGGGCACAGCCCCGGGAGCACCCCACAGGCAGCGCGGGGCCACCGGACATGCCAAACAGCACGCAGGGCGGCCAGCACGCCGGCAGGAGCACACGTCACGAGGGACTCCGACGCAGGGAGGCCCACAGGGCCGGCTGGACGCGGCACCGGCCAGCTTGAGGGCACCGCCCTCCACACACCACAGCCGGGGCCAGCCCTACCCACCCGCCGCAGGGAAGCGGGGCCGGCGGGGACACCGGACGTCACACGGCCCGAAGCCCTGTCCCTGGGCTGAGGTCTGCCTTGGCTGGCACAGTCTCAGCAGAAGCCTGCCCCCCACACACACCCCACTATGACGGACACTGCCGGGGCGCGGCTTCCTCAAGGCACAGCTTCTCCTCTGACCTCTGCTCTCTGACCCCGCGCGCTGACGCGGGTCTCCTGCACGAGCGTCTGTGTGGACGAGGCAACGTCGGGCTCCCGGGGGCCCCTGGAGGGGGGCTGGCACGGGCCCGGGGTGCGGGGCGCGCGGACCGGGAGGGCGTCGGGCCGGTCGGAGGTGGTGGGGAGCCCGGGGGCCCCTGACCCCGACCCCTCCAGGCTCGGGGCCGCCCGCGGGCGCGGGGAGAGCGGGCGGGAAAGGCGGGCGCGGGCGTCTGGGCGTGGGAGGCGGAGGGAAGAGGCGCCGCAGCCCAGGGAGAGCCCGGGGTCCCCCCACGCAGGAGGAAACTTGTGGGTTTTTCCATTTTAAAAAACTCAAGAAAATAAATAAATAAAAATAAAAAACTCAAATTATTTAGTTCTAAAATACTAAAAAGAAACGAAATCCACCTACAGTTGATCTGCTTCTAGCTGATTCTATTTCAGTATCAAACTGCATTTGTGAACAAAATCTTAGGAACCCTTGCACGGACGCTGCCCTGACCGAACTTCACCAAACGTCACGACACACAGCGCAAGCGCAGCAGGACTTAGAGGCGCAGCTTTCAGTCAGCTGGACGCTGAGCCAACGCCGCAGATCAAGCGTGCATACCCCCCAGCTTCGTAATATTGTTTTCATTAACTTTTCTTTCAGGTGCTCTAATTTCACACTTTCAGAATGAAACTGGCTCTTCTAGAAACACTAGTCTTCCCGGCACAAGCAGGTCTGACAATGCGGGTTACAGAGACACGGAGGCTCCTCGGCTCCACGGCCCACGTGGGCCTCGCGGTGCTGCTGCACAGGAGCCGAGCCCCAGTCCGCCGGCCGGCCTGTGGGGCCTTGGCCCAGGAGGGGGCGCGGGATGCAGGGCCCCCCGCCTGCTTCTAGGCAGAGGGCTGAGGGGCTCCCCACACAGACAGGGTCCGTGCCCGACAGAAAGGGGCCTTCTTGTCCCACTCGGGGGAGTGCCAAGTGCCCGATGCCTAAGGCCAGGGACAAGCCTGCCCAGCTTGGCTCCACAGGCCGCGCTGCTCCTCCGGCAGCAAGGACACGCTGCTTCCGGCTGAAGCCGCAGCACCCGCTCGTCGGGAGTCCGGGCGTTTCAGGTGTCAGGCCAGCAGTTTGAGTCCCGCCCCCGCAGCGGAGTGTTGCCCATCGTGCCCTGTTTTGAGGTGAGCGGCTGGCGGCCTTGTGGCCGGGGACCCTGCCCCACGCTGGGCACGGGGGCCGACGGGCTGGTGGGCCAGCCGGTTGGGGCACGCCGGCCAGCGGCTCCCACTCCGCCTTTCCCGAAGCCCCAGAGGCTGTCTTCCCTCTGGAAGGCAGCCACCAAGAAACGCTGAGTGTGAACAGGACGTAGCTTTGAGCAACGCTTGCCTGTCCTGATTTTTCAGGACAATCCTGCCCTCAAGGAAGAGACCCGGAGCCAATCCCAGGCTGCCCACACCAGCTGCCCGCCCTCTGCTGCAGGGGCGGGGCCGACACTGCCCGTTGGGGGTGGGGGGTGCAGGCTGATGTCACCAGCCTGCTTACAACAGAGTTTCAGGTGAGGAAATCCGCACGGGGCGGCGACACGCCATGGCGATGGCAGACGCTTCCTTCCCTTCTCGCAGGCGCTCTGAGTCCGGGGCCGGCGTCTCTGGGCCATGCTCGGCCCTCCCGGCCGCGCTGGCCGGACGTGGCCCGTGTTCCTGGATCACAGCTAGCTTTTCAGGAAGCCTTATTTGCTTTTCCACAAAACATTCCCTCTCTTTGTGCATCTGTGTGTGATGTTCAAGAACCAGGGATTCTCGGAGCCACCGAAGGCCAGTCCAGACACAGCAGAGCAGACCTGCCCGGCGGAGCCGCAGGGGGCAGGGGCGTAGGGCTCTCATGCTGAGGGGAACGCGGCCTTCCTGCCATCGAGAGTACGCTTCATCTCCACTGGCTGCCTCGCAGGCTCCCTGGAGTTTGTGAAAGTACTTACAGGTATCGAGATTTTATCACGTGCCAAGATTAATGGGCTTAAAAGCTGACAATTAAAATGTGGTCACTCATTACAAACCCAGGGAGGCAGATCTCAAAGGACACACCCCAACCGATACTCTGGGGCAGGGAGGCGCGCGCCAGCAGCGTCCTGCAGGCTCACCTGCTCGGTGACTCACCTGAGCCCGCCCTCCCGCCCCCGGACGCCTGCGGCCCAGATGGACCAGGCGGGCTGTGTACAGGCTCCCCAGAACCGGCCAGACCGGCCTGAGGAGCCCGGGGGCACGACTCTGAGGGCACCTGCTGATCTGGGCCTGAGGTGGGTGCAGGGAGTGGGGCTGCGAGGGGCCTTTTCCAGCAGAAACCCCAGGGGGCCACTCCACTCCGCCTGGCTAATTAGAAGGAACGGGAAGGGCTGGGAGGCAGGAGCCGGGAGCCCCCAGCTTGTGTGAGAGTGGGCCAGTGGCGCCCACGTGGGCATGCCAGGAAACCGGTCCTCCTCCAAGATCAAAGGGCCAGGGCCCGGGAGTTTCTGCAGCCGACGCGGCCCGTCCCCCGCAACCGTGCTCAGGTCACCAGGAGTGACACGGAGACCCAGGTTGGCTTGGAGCCCCATGAGGTCCCACAAGCCCAGCCCCTTCCTCGCCCATCGTGGTTCCTTAAAAAAAAGAGCCCCAGCTCAGGAAAGCCGCGGGGCCCAGCACCCACCTCCCGCCCACCCTGCCCACCCAGACAGACGTGGTGCCCTCACCCTCAGGGAGCCCCTGGGGTGGACTCAGCTCCGCCAGTCGGGGACAGGTGTCCAGTCACTCCCCCGTGCACCATGGGCGTGGCCCCAGCACCCACAACAGCCCCCATGTGCCGGACCCTCCCAGAGGAGCTGGCTGGTGGCTTCCAACCTGCCTGTCCCCCTCCAAGTGACAGCGGGCTGACTGCAATGGGGAGAGCGGGCCCCGTGCCCCCTCCTGTGGCGACGCACGGGCAGGAGCGGCCCGGTGCGGCCTCCCAGCAGGCATGAGCCAAGCACACAGCAGCCACGCCTGGGACAACAGACCATGCCCCACCGCTGCTCAGGCCAGAGGGGCTCAGGGCCAAGGCCTGTATCAGCAGCTCTCCTGGGGGACACTCTGCTTCATGGACGCTCATGAGGACAGCGCTACTACGTCACGTCCTGGTGCAGCAGGAGCAGAAGGGACCTGCGTGCAGCTAAAAGAACCTCCCTTCCAAAAGCCCAGGGCTGGGCAAGACCCCAGACCTGCGTCCACACCATGGGCCGGACACCAGGGCTGAGGCACCAAGGCTTACCAGCCGGTGGCCCCCACGGAGCCGCGAGGGGCAGAGGCGAGGCAGAACCTGGTCTCAGCCACCCTGCACCCTCCTGGCCGCAGGTCAGCTGACTGACCGCGAGGCTCTTGCTCCACCCGCCCCTCCCAGGTGGACAGGAGCAGGTGAGGCAGATGCCACTGCTTCCGGAAGCGCTTTATCTCCTGGAACAGGGAGTGGGTCCTCGGGCTCTGTGGGCTGCTTTGATGTGCGTGTCAAGATGGAGATACGCGGGCCGCACGCCAGGCCCCAAGACGAGACTCCCGCGGGAACAGATGGCCGCACCCCAGGCCCTCCACACACACGTCCCTGGAGACCACGCAAAGCTCTGGGGCCCTTCCTTGCAGAGCCGTGGAGACAGCATGCACACCAGAGCACCATCTGTCCTGGGGAGCCCATCCTGGGGAGCCCGTGGTGGAGGGACCATCCTGGGGAGTCCATCGTAGGAGCACCCATCCAGGGGGAGCCCGTCCTGGGGTACCCATTCTGGGGAGCCCGTCCTTGGGGAACCGTCCCGGGGACACCATCCTGGGGGCCCCGTCCCGGGGAGGCCATCCTGAGGAGCCCGTCCTGGGGGAGCCCATGCCGGGGCACCCATCCTGGGGAGCCTGTCCTAGGGAGCCCGTCCTGGGGAGCCCACACTGGGGAGCCCGTCCTGGGGAGCCCATGCCAGGAAGCCCGTCCCGGGGAGCCCATCCTGGGGCACCCGTCATGGGGAGCCCATCCTCAGGCCTCACCGGAAAGGCGAACCTGGGTGAGCCAAACGCGTGTCCTGGCGCCCGGGAGCGGAGCAAGGACGCGGCACGGAGCAGCAGGGGCCGCGGGTTGGCTCGCTCCCAGGCCAAGACAGGGGCGCGAGGCAGGCCCAAGCAGAGGCCAGGGCTGCCTGCTGGGGCTGGGCGCACAGGGGCGCCTGCTCTCCATTGGGACCCCAAGAAGCCGATGCCCCCCCCCCCCGGAACTGCCATGCAGCCTCAAAGCGGTAGTTTTGGCGCCGCTGTCACGGCGAGCACCCAGGCGCCCGACACCCCCTTCCCCGGGACTCCTGCCCAGGCCGAGGCCCCGAGAGCCCCCTCCGCAGAGCATGTGCCCCAAGAAGCACCCTTGTGTCCCGTGTGTGCCCACTCATGTCCCCCATGCATCCCCACGCCAGCACCCGTGTCCCGGCGCAGCCCACCTGGAAATGGCGGCCACAAAGGGCTCCAGCTCCCGTGGCTCGTAGGCGCGAGCGAAGGCCCAGCACACGTAGCAGGCGGCATCCCTGACGTTGGTGCCCACGCTGCAGGCGCCCCGCTTCTCGTCGTAGGCCAGCGCCTTCAGGATGACGGGGACCACTGTGCCAGGAGACAGGCGTGAGTGCCCGCCCAGCCCCTGCCCACTGCGAGCCGCGCACAGCCCTGCAAGCCGTGGCCCCGCAGGAGGAAGCGTCTTTAAGAGGTGACCCAAGAGACCTGCGGTGAGGCTGCCAGGCGGGGCAGGGCCGCGGGCACAGCCTGGGGGCGGAACGGCAGGCGCGGGGAGCTGACCCAGGGCTGTGGGGAGGTCGTGGCTGCAGGGGGTGGGGGCACTGGAGGCCCTGGGGCGAGGCCTTCCAGAAGGAGCCCGTGCCCACCCAGCGCACACAACCCCGGCATAGAGCTGCCCTGGGGGTGCAGCAGCCCAGCGGTGGGCGGCCAGTCCCCCCGGCTTTTGGGTCTAAGCATCACGGGCTGAAAAGGTGGATTTGGTTCATGCGGGTAGTTCTGAGGCTGGGGGGAGGGGGGGGCTGGGGGGCACAGAGCCGGGGGCATGAGGGGCATGGAGCAGGGGGCTGGGGGCTCGGGCTGAGGGGCTGGGGCGAGGCTGGGGGTGCGGGGCAGGTGACTGGGCACCTCCTACAGGGCTACCTGACTGACGGCTGGTCTGGGCCCTGGGTGGGTCCCGCACCTGTGCGGGGAAAGCCTCAGGTTCCCAGTCCAAGCCCAGGTCCGCCCAGGCCTCCCTGGGCCAGCAGTGGGGGAAGGTGGGTCTGTGCAAGGCCGGGAGCTGCACATGGGGCGGGAGCGGCAGAAGCCCCAGCAAGGGCCCACACTCCCGCCCGGCCCATGAGCTGCCTGCTGACTCCCGGCCACGCCCGCCCCCCGGGGCAGAGGAGAGCCCGCGGGGCCTCCCCACAGCCCCTCCGAGCAGACTGTACCCTCGTCCCCCCAGGCGCCGTGGAGGACCCACACCACACCAGGGGCCATGCCGGGGCGCGAGGACGTGGCGGCCGCAGCCCGGAGCAGCCTCCCTGCTGGCCGGGTCAGGCAGGAAGAGAACCCCCGCCCACCGTGAGGAGCGCCCGCTCACGGGGCCCTGGCAGCACCCTGCAGTATAAAAGTGAAAGAGCTCGGAGGACGGCAAGGCACAGGCAGACACAGGCTTCGGGGCGAGACACTTGGAAACGGCTGTCAGCACCAGCACAGCCCGGGCTGCGAGAGCGGAGACGGCGGGGTAGGGCGGCCGCACGGGGCTCTGCCCGGGCCACTGCCCAGGCCACACCGCCAGCTGATCCCGGCCTCCCGCCTCTACCGCGCCCAGGGCTGCCCGCGTCTAGGGGCCTGGCCAGGAGCCGCCTCAGCGGCCATGCGGGGCCTGGGCAGCAGGCAGCACACAGAGGAGCAGCAGTCTTCGCCCCAGACGTTCACAAAGTCATCGCTAGAGGCCAAAATTCAGAACAACTCCCGACTCCACGGGTTTAGCACAAGGAAGCTCTTCCACAGCCTGACCCCCCCCCGTGCCCCCCCTCCCTGCAGTTACACCTGCAAACGCGTGTCCAGCACTCGGCCCCAGAGGGCTTCCTTCTGGCAGCCCAGGCCAGCAAGGTCGCTGGGCGCCCTGCCCTGAGGCGGCATGTCAGCTGTGTGACGCCAGGGCCTCAGGACAAGCAGCCTCCGGGCGAGAACCGACTTAACGCTGAGGGTGCCAGCCACCCCCTGCACCCCCCGCCCCCGCCCCATCCTTCTCTGCCGAGGCAGAAATGCTCTCCAGGAGAATCACCCTACAGGCAGCACAGGGGCAGGGCCCTGGCAAGTGGCAAGTCACACTAAAAGAAAGACAAACGTCCGCAAAGGCCTCGGCATGGGGCCGCCCCAGCCGGGCAGGACCCTGCGCGCCGAGCGCGGCTTCTGGGAGCGGGTGTGGCCACCCCACAGCTCCCACCGCAGCCGCCGGCACAGCCAGCCATCGAGCCTGCGCAGAAATGCAGCCCAACTGGCTCAGGAAGAAGCCAGCACTGGATTTGCTGGGGGGCAGGAGGAAACGGTGGCCAGAATATCTGGTTCCACAGATGTTTGGGTTTTGAGCTCCCACAGGTCAGTCCTGAAAACCGCCCCAGGCCGGAGTGGCGCGGTGGCGGGTAGCCCCAGGAGTGCCCACCGCGTCCGTGCCGCTCCCCAAGGCCGCCGCCTTGGGCCCGTGGCCATGCCCCAGGCACCCCGGGAGGCCAGGCCCCACTGCCCGCAGGCGGCACTAGGGGCCAATGTCACGAGCGCCTTGTCCACTGAGCGCACGGATGACCCCGCAGAAGCAGCCCCCAGGCGAGTGGAGGCCTCGCTCCGGCTGGCGGCCAGCCAACACCTCCCAGAGGGGCTGAGCCCAGGCGGGGGCGCCCAGAGCCCCAGCCCCCTGCACACGAGAGGCCCCGTGGCCACAAGAACCCAAGCCACTGAGCAACGCGCCCACCAAGCTGGCTGAGCTGGTCCACGGGCACCAGGCCTCTGGGACCCGGGGAGACTCCGGATCGGTCAGGGTCTCCCTGAGCCTGAAGAGGGAGCAGCGGGCGGCAGTGGCGGTTGCAATGTCACGCTGGAACCCACTGCCCGCGGCGGCCCTGCCCGGCTAGCCCTGTCTGCCACGCGGGTGAGGCTGAGGCCCAGCGAGGCCCCAGAGGGCACCCCGGGTGGTCTTGAGGCGCCACACATGCCTCTCTTCAGGGCTCCTGCCATCACCCTCTCATTTGTTCAAACATGGAAACCAGATTCTTCCCCAAGAGCAAGACATTCCCCTCCTGAAACATCTCCTGGGGGGCCACACACAAACCCCAAGGGGAGAGGAGGGGCCTGTGCCCCCCCCACCCCGCCCCGGCCGGCCCTCACACCAGGCCCTGCACACACTCCAGCTGGGCTCGCCAGCAGCTGGCCCTCACCAGCGGGGGGACGCGACCCACAGCCAAGACTAGGAGGCCACTCGTCAGCCCGGACTAGATGGAGCCGCTCCACGGAGGCACCACGGCGTCCCTCATGCCCAGGCCGGTCAGTCAGGTGGGGCTCAGGGATCTGGGGCCCGGCAGACCCCAAAACACAGGGATAAGGGAGGTGCTGCTCACCACGCCCAGAACCGGCTGGTGCCACCACCGCAGCTGGTGAGGTCCGGCAGCCCCACCAGGCCGGTGGCCTCCAGGGACGGCCTCTGCCCACTGGTCACCACCTGCGCAGGTGGGTCAGAAGGTGCTGCCGGACGGGCCGGAGCGTGGCTCGGGCGGCCTCGCAGCTGGCGGGCACATGGGCATTGCATCCCCCTGGACAACCCCTGACCAACGTGTTGCTTAGAAATGTTTTCAAATTGAAAGTCCTTGTCTGACCTTTGCCTTTCCACACCCAGTCCCGGGCTGCCCAGTGGCTGAGGACGCGGCCTCCCACAGTGGCCCTCTGGCGCATGCCACGTGGCTCTGAGCACCCGGGGGACAGCAGGGCCACCCACTAAGCTCTGCTCCCTGCCCTCAGGGTGACTCAGGGCCGTGCGGCCTGGGAAGAGCAGAGGTCTGGGCAGGCAGGGCCTCCGGGGCAGGGGAGCGACACTGTCTCCTCAGCCTCTATAGGCAGGGCCTGGCATGGGAGGCCTGCAGTGTACCGGAGCCCAAGTGGGTCTGGGATGCTGCGCCTGCCCCGTGCCCACCATGAGGGCGTGTGGGTGGCGGCGGAGCGGTCGCTCCTGGCTCAGTTCAGCGGTCCTGGGGGGGAGGGGGACAAGAAGACAGGCAGGGTGGGGGCAGCAGCAGCAGGGGGTGCACGCGGCTCAGAGCACTGCTCTGCACGCACACGACGCCAGAACCAGCGGGGCGGAGCCTGGCAGAGGGGCCACAGATCAGCCGGCAGGATGAGCAGCCAGGGCAGCAGCAGCCGCTCCCGTGGCAGGACCCCGGGCATCGCAGACTGCAGAGTAGCCCCCAGGCTGGACCCTTACTCACTGGCAAGTCCAGCCGCAGAGGCTGGGTCACCCCCTGGGCTGAGGAAGGGTCCTACCAGCCATGCGGATCAGGATGGGTCCCTGACCAGCGAGCCCCCAGTGCCCAGGCCACGCCAGTGCGGGGAGGGGGCTCTGTGCGGGCACGGCACGGCCTGGGTGGCAACTGGCCCCAGACCAGGAAGCCGAAGCCCCTCGATGCTGCGAGCCGGGCGGAGCCGGAGACCAGCCGCCCGGAAGTCAGCAGGGATACGCCACACGTGTACACGCCTGGCGGGCGCGTCCATGGCGGCGCGGAGCTCAGTGGCCGGCGCCGAGGCCCCAGCCCCGGCCAGGACCAGCGGGGAGCACAGAGTCAGGAGAACCTGACACGCACCCGCTGGCCAAGTGGGCACCAGACGGAGTGGGCGCAAGGGGCGCACGACCCTCACCCGCCCCCACCACGGCTCTCCAACGTCTCGGCGCCTTTTTTTGTCTCTGCTGCTCCGGCAGCCGTGGCAGGAAGGACAAGCGGAGAAGCAGCCTCGTCCGCGCTCCCCACAGGGTGGCCACAGCTCCTCCCACGCACGAGCACGAGGCGGCCGCGGCGTGGGCCTGCTCCCCGGGCCGGGGCAAGCCCGAGGCAGGAGCGCCCAAGCGGGACACGCTGCTGCAGGGCGGGGAGGGCGCAGCGGTGGAGGGAGCTGTGGGAATCGCAAAACTTGGCCCAAGTTCACCACCTGGATCCGTTTCTCAATCAAAGACAAAACCAGCCGCAGCTGCTGGTTTCGAGTTTCCCGGAGGACCGAGGCGGGAGGGCCCCGGGGTGGGCAGCGCGCACCGCAGCGGCCACGGCCCTGCAGGCCAGGCAAGAGGGAAGGCCCTTCCCGGGGGGCTGACCAGCTCCACGTGCACGCGCCTCGGGCGTCCCCTTCCCACCCGCCAGCTCCGGGCAGAGGCTCCGCGGGGGTCGCCTCAGAGCGGGCAGCACAAACGCATGGAGGCCACACACCCAGAAACCGAGGCCTCTGCCCACCCACATGGGCCGCACTGCCCGCCAGACAAGACAGCCCAAGGCAGAGGGGCTGTGCACTCCGCACCCCCAAGACAGAGGCCCCCAATCGGCAACGCAGACGCCGGCACGAGGTGGGGA